ACTTCCTTGGTAGAAGAGCTAATACAAGTGAGTACATCTGTTGGTCATGGCATGAATCGTGTATAGTTGTTTGAAAAGTTAAGGGCAAGTGTAGAACGCCCCGTCACAATCAAGTGTGTCAGCTGCTGTTAATTAGCCCTGAGGTTCCTGGTGGTTGCGAAAGGTATAATGCGGAGCTTGTTTCTTTTGTCATCAAATAGGAGAAACTGGTCGCCGTTGTTGGTTTGGGTTCATTCATCATCCAAGACAAGAATTGTTAAGGGTGTTGCTAGCTTTGGTAAGAGTTTGCTTCTGGAGTGGTAGAGGCATGTGCAGATTGGATTGTTCCACAAGTTTTCTCTCAGTTGCCTAGTCATGTGTCTGTATTTTTGCGACCACTTCATCGTAGATGGCGGGTATGGGCTACTCTCTGTACCTCTATGCTGTTCATGATCTTCTAAACTTCTCCCTGGAAACGATCAGATAGATGAATGTGTCGATGACAAACTTTCACAGGAACGTCATAGGATGTGTTGTTAATTGCAGGACATTCTCGAACACAGCATTTCCAATAAGTAGTGTCACGGCAGTTGTTCTTCATCATGTACCGGATACCAGCCTGGAGCAGAGTCATATCTCCACTTCTATTAGCAATAAACTGGACTTGCATTTGATAGTTCGCCAATATGATAATAATGTTACTTCGGAATTGACTGCATATATACTTATTTCATAGCTTTGGTATTCACCTCGCTCAGTTACTAGATTTTACCTCTGCAGTAATTAAATTAGCTTGGGAATTCACAAACTAACAGTTACCTGATGCCAAAATTTGACCACTGTGAAAATTACCCCAATTAAAAAATTCAAACAAAATCTCACCTAATGTTAATTGAAAGGAAATTAATTACATAAACTTTTTTGGTAAATTTCATATCACATACATCTAATTGCCGTAATGAAAATTTACGTTTAAACTAATGCGGAAGTTATTTGTATAATACACTTAATTTGTTCAGCTATTTATTGCATTCTATTTAACGAGAATAGGATTTTTTTTTATTTTTACAATTACAGTCTTGTACAACCTTAGTAGTTTACCTGTACAGGTAACAATCTACCTGTTCAGATAACAGGTACCGTAACTGTTAAAACAACATGCAAACTTGATTTTTAGATAAGTTTTTGGGACAACCAGCACCCACATTTTCATTTTTGGGACAAACAGAACGATACCAAGTAAGTGACATTTGCTAGTAAACCAAGGCTTAATATCACACCTCAAACTCCGTAGTACTGATACCAAAACCATGCTAAGCAGAGCCCTCGAACAATTCACTAAGTGTATCTACAATATCATTAATTTCATTATTTGTTACATTGCCGTTTTGTTTATTTAATAATTAATTTAACCAATCATTAATTCTGTATAGGTTACCTGCCTCGTCATCAAGTATGTGTTTTACGAAATCTTGCTCTTGACATGATTTCTATTTGGTATAAACGATACCATTCTCATGACATTCGCTATTATAATTATATGCATCATTAAATATACAAAAGCTAAATGCTATTCTACAATAGACTTCAGATATCAATGGATAAAAATCCATGATTTCAAAATCAGTTGTATACTGGAAATATCAGACGACAATAATAAATAATCAACACATGTCATCACTACATGTAGATTTTCCTGTTAGTGCATCCTTTCCTATCCGACAATTAGCAATATACACATCATTTTTATTTTAATAGGATTTAATAGGATAATAGTGAACTCAGGCATTTCTGCCTCTGTATTCACATCAATACAATGTATTATTAATATAAACATAATATTAGTTGGGAGATGCGGGTTGACTTAGGACAAAGACTAGTTTTCCCAGAGGTCGTCCAAACCAACCTTCGTCCAGATATCCTGCTATGGTCACAGCATGGGAAGAAAATGGTAATGATTGAGCTAACTGTCCCCTGGGAGGATCGATGCCAAGAGGCTCATGAGCGGAAGAAAGGGAAGTACGCAGATCTTGCAGACGACGTGAGAGCAAAAGGATGGAGTGTGTGGGTCTTGTTAGTAGAGATGGGGTGCAGACGGTTCCCTGCACAGTCTATGTGGAGGATGTTTTCTACACTAAGCATCCAGGGAAGAGACCGAAGGGCAGCTGTTCAACGACTATCAACAACAGCAGAGAAGTCGTCCAGCTGGCTTTGGTGGAGAAGAGAAGATTTGAGCTGGAAGCCATCCATCGACGGGCAGTGATTTGGCCAATCACTGTCGACTCGCCACCTTGAGGACGTCCTAGGATAGGAGTCGAAACGTCCAGTGAGAGGTGGTCCTGGCTGATGACGTCGATGGATTCTGCAGTCTAGCGATTGTTTTTAAGGTAATGACTAGATATAAGGCGCTGTATGATCGTACTTCAGTTCAAGATCTTTACAGAAATCGTCTAGGTGTTTTTCAAAATCATGAACGTTAAGTGATGAAATTACCCATTGAGGGAGACTATTCCAAGTATCAAATATTCTTTGAGTAAAATAATGTTTTCTGACATTCAAATGACAATGTTTTTTAAATATTATTTTACTATGTCCACGAGTTTTTCCTTGCGCTGCAGGGTCGAACATTCCCTCCACCAGCTTTGGATCAAATGTCCCATTCATGAACTTAAACACGTTTATCATATCTCCACGTAGACGCCTGTATATCAAGGTTGGGAGATTCAAACGGCGTAGCCTCTCATTGTAGCTTAAAGTTTTAAATCCCGGTAGTAGTTTTGCCGATCTCCTCTGGACGTTTTCTATCCGTTCGATGTCCGTAATTCTGTGTGGGACCAAACACTTGCCGCGTACTCTAGGTGCGGTCGTACTAGAGCTTTAAACAAATTCCTGAACATATTTTCGTCCAAATAAATAAATGATCTTCTTATGACACCTACCATTCTATTAGCTTTATTTATTGCTTGTTGGATATGTGTTGTAAAACTTAAATCTACCACAACTCCCAGGTCTTTTTCCAATGCAAAGGTTTCCAATGTTATGATTTTACCTTCATTGTTTGTTATATGATATTGCGACTCTCTTTCTTTATGTTTTGTTGACACAGTCATAACTTTACATTTATTTGGATGGAATCGTAATAGCCACTTATCCGACCACTTCATCAAATTACAGAGATCTTCTTGGAGTAAGTGCTCATCGTTATAGTTTAGTGTCATCCGTTAGTTGATGCGATCTGTGTCTCATTTATTCGGGGTTTCCGGTTTTGGCAGCCTTTAATTTTACAATTTTCCTTGCCCAGGGTGGTCCCCGTACTTGGTACAAGTATTCCCCCGACGTATCCTGGATTTGTTTTTCTTTAGCCTTTTCCAACATCGCCTTTTCCTGCTCCCTTTCCTGTTTTGTTAAATCATTGTTAATTCTGTATCCCGTGAACGAAGGATCGTTGCCGATGTTTTTAATTATCTTAAAAATCACTTTCTTTATGTCCGAATTTGAAAGCGTTACCAGCAAAGGTCGCACCCGTCTATTTTGATCCTTACCCGGTTCATCTCCGCGCTTTCCAAGCCTTGTACATTTGGAAACTATATCCTCTTCTGTGTTAATACAGCATTTTTGTAGGATTTCCTTCACTTTATTTACATCATGAAGTATTCTGTCCTCTCTTTTTGTTGACTCGATCTCATTAACGGCAAAAATCATGATATTGTTTTCTCTTGACTTACGATCATTAATCTCCGTTAAAATGCTTTTGGTATCCTTTTGCTCGGATTGGAGGTTTACATTCTTTTGCACTACTGCCGACCATGAAGATCCTTTTTCTTCCTTAATTAATTCGCGTACTTTTCTTTCGTCACATTTCGTGCTGATGGAATCCTCCAGAAGCTTAATTCGCTGTTCGAATTATTTCCTTAAAGCCTGGCAACTTTCCTCGATTTTACGAGCTGTAAGGATGTCTCTCTTTACTATAGGTTTACATTTTATACAAAACCACATGGAGTCCGAGTTTCTCTGGAAGATGTACTCCTCTGGTGTTTTGCCCAAACATGTAACACAATAAAAACCCCTGCATTTTTCGCATTCCAATAGTTTTTCGTTAGGGTTATCGAACCCTTCATTGCAAACTCTACATTCGAATTGCCCTTCCTCATCTTCGCTAGCTACTGGAGATGTAAAGGTAATGTCCGGCTGACTGTCGCTGTTCAGCGTAGCCTTTGATCCTGATGCATTGGATCGACCTTTCTGCTTAGACGGCTTTCCTCTTCGCTTTTTCTGGTCGTCGCTAGGCACGTCGCCATCTTGTTTTCCCTTCGTTGCAGCTGTGATATATGGATCAATCCGGTACGTGTTACTGTAGGGTATTTAGTATAACCCTGAACGTTAGCTCTTCTGTCGTGAAGGTTAATAAAAGCAGTTGTATCACCTGGACGCCATTTCTTATGAGTTGATTGTTCCACGTGGGTAGCAAACAAGATATTACAGTGGCGACGAGGCACGGAACTTGTGGTAAGATCGACTCTGTGTTTTGAACGAAAGCACCATGGCGAAAATAGGCCGTATCGGCGAGTTCGCAGAGGGCAAAGAGGATTTCAGTTGTTACGTTGAGAGACTGGAACAGTTTTTTGCCGCGAATGATACAGCTGACGTTAAACGGGTCCCTGTGTTTCTAGCGGTAGTAGGTCCGCAAACATATGCTTTGCTTAGGAACATTCTCACCCCAGAACTGCCCAGTACCAAATCGTATGAGGAGTTGAAGGCAGCACTAACTAGACATTACTCCCCCAAACCACTCGTGATAGGAGAACGGTTTAAATTTCACAATCGTAAACAGAGGGAGGGGGAATCAGTTTCTGATTATGTAGTCAGCCTAAAGAAGTTGGCAAAGTATTGAGTTCGGGGACTTCCTTAATCAGGCCTTGAGGGACAGACTAGTGTGCGGATTACGGAGTGAGGTCATACAAAAAAAACTGTTGACCGAGAAAGACTTGGACCTAGCCAGGGCTAATGAAATCGCGTTAGCCATGGAGATGGCGACAAAGAACACTGAGGTAATGTCGCAGCCGGCCATTGGTTCAGTCAATGTTGTGAGCAAAGGTCAGAGGTACAAGCCTCGGAAATCAAAGCACTGGGGTACTGAAAGATCACACTCGGACAAGGCAGAGGGAACCAACAGTGACTCAGGTAAAAGGTGTTTTCGCTGTGGTGGAAAACATACACCAGCAGACTGTAAGTTTCTGCATGCGCAGTGTTATGTGTGTCAGAAAGAGGGACATATTGGAAAAAAATGTCCAACCAAAAGGTCAAAAGGGCCTGTAAGCGGTACTAACATTAGTAAGACTAAGTATCTGGAGGCGCAGGAACTCAAGGATGATGAGTTCTTATATGGCCTGTATAATGTCGCTAGTGTTGATAAGGGCTATAAGGTGAACCTCAATTTGAACGGTTGTCCAGTCCAGATGGAAATTGACACAGGAGCCGCAATCACTATTTGCTCGGAGAAGGTGTATACTGATCATCTCTCGCAATTGTCCTTGCAAAAGCCCACGGTCAAGCTGAAAGACTATGGTGGCGTGAACGTGCCATTACGCGGTGAGGTAACCGTTCCGGTGACATACGGAAATCAGAGCCATAACTTGTTGTTGCGCGTCGCATGTGGCAACCGTCCATCGTTGTTGGGTCGGAACTGGCTAAGCCACATCAAGCTCGATTGGCCAATTATCTTTACTGTGACCCAGTCAGTGCAGTCGCAGCGCATTGATACGTCGGTCAAGGAACTGTTGGTCAAGCATCACAAGCTGTTCCAGAAAGGTCTGGGAACGATACAGAAATTCAAGGCTCACGTAAAGGTTCGGTCTGATGTACAGCCCATTTTCTGTAAGGCCCGGGCGGTGCCTTTTTCCCTGAAGGAAACCTTAGAGAAGGAGCTTCATAGACTTGAAAATGAAGGCATTGTGTCGCGAGTCGAACAAAGCGATTGGGCGACTCCAGTTGTCATTGTGCCAAAGGCCGATAAGTCAATACGCCTTTGTGGCGACTTCAAGGTGACTGTAAACAAGTGCTTGGATGAACAACAGTATCCACTTCCGAATGTGGAAGACATGTTTGCACAGCTGGCCGGTGGTCAGAAGTTTACGAAGTTGGATTTATCGAAGGCGTACCAGCAGTTAACATTAGACGAGGCCTCAGGGAAATATTTAACCATAACCACACACCTGGGATTATTCAAGTATCATCGGTTACCGTTGGGTGTTGCATCGGCCCCCGCTATCTTTCAGTCAGTCATGGATCAGATATTGCAGGGAGTACCGCATACCATGTGTTGTATCGACGATATCCTGGTTACGGCACCAAGCGACAGTGAACACATCAAAATCTTAGGTGAAGTGTTGCGCAGACTCGAGGAGCACCACGTCCGTCTACGCGAGGACAAGTGTAAGTTCATGGAGGACACCGTCAAGTATATGGGTCATATGGTGGATCGCGAGGGAATCCATCCCACTGAGGCGAAAATCGAAGCGATCAAGAACGCGCCAAGTCCGACAAATGTGTCTGAACTGAAATCATTTTTAGGACTTTTGAACTATTATTGTCAGTATATGCCGAATCTGTCGACCAAGTTGCAGCCATTGCACGAGCTTTTGCGACAGGATACATCCTGGAACTGGACCTTACAGTGCGAGTGCGCGTTTCGGTCGTGTAAGGACCAGTTGTGAAGTGATCGCGTGTTGGTTCATTACGACATGAACAAGCCGCTACGGTTAGCGTGCGATGCATTTGCTTATGGGGTCGGAGCTGTGATCTCCCACATTTGTGACAACGGAGAGGAGCGTCCCATTGCATACGCGTCACGAACTCTATCGGCGAGTGAAAAGAATTACGCTCAGGTGAAGAAGGAAGCGTTGGGTCTGGTGTTTGGTGTCCGGAAGTTTCACAAGTATTTGTATGGGCGTCAGTTCACCCTGGTGACGGATCACCAGCCGTTAGTTACAATCTTTGGCCCCAAGAACGGCGTCCCGACTTTAGCTGCCGCAAGGATGCAGCGATGGGCTCTTATATTGTCCGCGTATCAATACGATATTGTATCGGAGGGCCGAACATCATGCCAATGCAGACGCGTTTTCGCGGTTGCCTGTCAAAAGTGACGGGAAGTCGGAGGAATTGAAGGTCTACCACTTCACTCAGTTGAATGACTTACCAGTAACATCTGAGGACGTTGCGAAGGGGACGAGACGTGATGTAGTGCTGTCGAAGGTACTTGACTATACACTGCGAGGTCGGCCTAATTATGTGTCAGATCGCGACCTGCAACCATTTCATCAGCGCAGGAATGAACTGTCTACTGAGCAGGGTTGTGTGTTGTGGGGTTTGCATATAATCATCCCACAAGCCTCTCGAGAGCGTATTCTGGCCCAACTACATGAACAGCATGTTGGAATGAGCCGGATGAAATCTCTAGCCCGGAGTTATCTGTGGTGGCCTGGCCTTGATAAAGACATCGAAACAGTGGTCAGTGCCTGTAATGCATGTCAGGCTACGAGGAAAATGCCCCCGGTGGCACCCCTTCACTCCTGGTCATGGCCTACTCGTGTTTGGCAGCGTGTCCACATAGACTTTGCGGAGAAAGACAAGAGATACTTTCTTGTGGTTGTGGACAGTCACAGTGGGTTGAGGTGACTCGTATGACAACCACTACTTCTGAGAGGACTATCGAAGTCCTGCGTTCACTCTTCAGTTCTTATGGCCTACCTGAAGAGGTTGTCTCTGATAATGGCCCCCAGTTTACCTCAACTGAGTTCGAACAGTTCATGAAACGGAACGGGGTCAGGCATACTCTAGTAACGCCCTATCACCCAGCTTCAAATGGAGCAGCGGAACGCTCAGTCCAGATCTTGAAACAAACGCTTCAAAAGCAGGTTTTTGATGGTGATGAACAATGTACAATTCAGCATAGGCTCAGTAACTTCTTACTGAAGTATCGATCTACTCCACAGACTGTTACTGGTGTATCGCCAGCTGAATTATTTCTTCAGCGTCAGCTACGCACACCTCTCTCGTTGTTGAAACCTGACACTGGAAGTCGCGTTCAACGGAAGCAAGCTGAGCAAAAACGACAACATGACAAAGGGCGAGTTCGGGTTCGAACATTCTCACCGAAACAGACAGTGCGGGTGAGGAATTTCAGGGGTGGTCAGGAAAAGTGGATGCCGGGTACGATAGTGAGACAGCTAGGTCCTCTTACTTATCTCGTACGGATAGGACCAAACATTCGCTACACCCATGTTGATCATATCTTATCGTCAGGGGAGGAACCGTTATTTGACGATTTATCCGTGGTGTCTAATTTGGGTTCAAACCAGTCGCAAGTGGATACACCCGTGGTACTACCAGAGACGTTCTCGCGTTCTCCAATACCGTCTAAGGAACCTGAAACACTTAAGGTGCCCACCTCTGTACCTGACACCTCAGCAGTCGTAGCACCGATTCCAACTCCTCAGCTGGAATCGTCGACGAGTGACATTCAGACACCCGTTGTGTCGAGCACTAGCCCGGTCGTTGGTCGTAATCCACCTAGGAACCGTCAGCCCCCACAAAAGTTGAATTTGTTTGTTGGCTATTAGCCATATCATTGACAGTGATAAGTGCTTGTGATTGAGATCTCTTTTAATTACAGTATTTGCAGTGAATGTTGAATTATCGTTTCTTTCAGTTCAGAAGACCAAAGACTGGTTAACAATAATCAACAGAGATTTTGTGTAATTTGAATATTGAACTTGACATTTAAAAGAGGGAGGAGTGTGATATATGGATCAATCCGGTACGTGTTACTGTAGGGTATTTAGTATAACCCTGAACGTTAGCTCTTCTGTCATGAAGGTTAATAAAAGCAGTTGTATCACCTGGACGCCATTTCTTATGAGTTGATTGTTCCACGTGGGTAGCAAACAAGATATTACAGCAGCCATATCGCCTTAAAATCGTTAATGTTTCCTTAATTCCTTGAGATGACCCTTCTGTCGACTCACGACAGGTTAAGTCTTCAAAAGAGTAACTTCCCTCACGAAAATTCTGCTACATTCCTTGATGTATTTCGGTAAAACGACGAAAAAATCAGAGTTTCAGCAGACCCCACAATCATTTAACGACTAACGTTTAATGTTTTGTTGATAAAAATCGAGCAATCTATTGCCGTAGTTATAAACTTTCGCTTTACATTGCTTTAAATTTTCAAAATGATAAAAATAATCACTGCAACAACAGATTTTTTTACGTTTACGTTCTACGTTTAGCATGACCTTCATAGTCAGACGGTAATTGTAAATTATCCAGATTGTCAGTCTTACTCTCAACCAAAGCAAGTGCAACACGTGCTAATATTAAGTTTTCAAACTCGGGTACAAGTATTTCAGACTTAAAACAGCAAACACTAAAGAAAAGTAAACTTGAAAGTGTCTTTTGACCATGATGGGTTATCACAGTCACGGGATTGCCCTCTTGCTGCGTCTCCCTAAAATGGGCGTCTGGCACGTGACGAGCATCACAGAAATTATTTTAACCGCAAGAGGGCGCGGATATTCGCTATCCATTGGTTGATGAGTGCCATCAACGTCCTCCGTGAGAGCTGGAAGTATGACCTGGATCATTGGGATGGAGACTAGGAGGCTGATGGTGAAATGGGATGTAAAGGATACCATCGATGTACAGTTTATCGCCTTAAAGAGCGTGCATTTCATGCCTTCTGGCTTTATGAAAGTAACACAAATCCCTTTGGTAGCCTATTACTGCCAGGGTTGTCAAATCCATCGACAAATTTTATCAGTTTAAACAATTAATTACTATATCAAAAATATGGAATTGCATTTAAATTATACTAAAGTGAGAGTATGACGTATACGTGTAATTTAATAAGTTATTTGAGAATTATTGTTTCAACATTGTTTGTATAAGTAATATCGACTGAACGGTAACACTCTCGCAATAGCTCAAGACTCAAGACAATTTGGTATACTACAAATGATATCTCAATTGGCAAAAAATACAATTGAGACATTGAATTTGTTTAACCTCAATTGCAGACACAGTCATTGATGGTAATTGTTCTTTGACATTGTTCCAGTATTTGTCAAAATGTAGACTAGCCTTAGGCAGACGACTTATCAGTCAAGGCTTTGGATATTTGACTAAATAAATCGAGTTCTTGGATATTTGACTTAATTAATCAAGGCCTTCTATAGCCGAATGATGAGTTGAAACCTTGGAGAGAAGACTTATGAGTGGAGGCTTTGGATAGACGACTTTTGAGTGGAGGCCATGGATAGACAACAGTATGAGTGGAGGCCTGGGATAGACAACAGTATGAGTGGAGGCCTGGGATAGACAACAGTATGAGTGGAGGCCTGGGATAGACGACAGTATGAGTGGAGGCCTGGGATAGACGACAGTATGAGTGGAGGCCATGGATAGACGACAGTATGAGTGGAGGACTTGGATAGACGACAGTATGAGTGGAGGTGGATAGACGACAGTATGAGTGGAGGACTTGGATAGACAACAGTATGAGTGGAGGACTTGGATAGACGACAGTATGAGTGGAGGCCATGGATAGACGACAGTATGAGTGGATAGACGACAGTATGAGTGGAGGCCTTGGATAGACAACAGTATGAGTGGAGGACTTGGATAGACAACAGTATGAGTGGAGGCCATGGATAGACGACAGTATGAGTGGAGGAGTTGGATAGACAACGTATGAGTGGAGGCAATGGATAGACAACAGTATGAGTGGAGGCCTTAGATAGACGACAGTATGAGTGGAGGCCTGGGATAGACGACAGTATGAGTGGAGGCCTTGGATAGACAACAGTATGAATGGAGGCCTTGGATAGACAACAGTATGAGTGGAGGCCTGGGATAGACAACAGTATGAGTGGAGGACTTGGATAGACGACGTATAAGTGGAGGCCATGGATAGACGACAGTATGAGTGGATAGACGATTTATGAGTGGAGGCCTGGGATAGACAACAGTATGAGTGGAGGCCTTGGATAGACAACAGTATGAGTGGAGGCCTTGGATAGACGACAGTATGAGTGGAGGCCTTGGATAGACAACAGTATGAGTGGAGGCCTGGAATAGACAACAGTATGAGTGGAGGCCTGTGATAGACAACAGTATGAGTGGAGGCCTGGGATAGACAACAGTATGAGTGGAGGCCTTGGATAGACAACAGTATGAGTGGAGGCCATGGATAGACGACAGTATGAGTGGAGGCCATGGATAGACGACAGTATGAGTGGACTTGGATAGACAACAGTATGAGTGGAGGCCTGGATAGACAACAGTATGAGTGGAGGCCTGTGATAGACAACAGTATGAGTGGAGGCCTGGGATAGACAACAGTATGAGTGGAGGCCTTGGATAGACAACAGTATGAGGTAAGGCCATGGATAGACGACAGTATGAGTGGAGGCCTTGGATAGACGACTTATGGGAGGGTCCGAATTACGACCATTAGTCTTGTTGAATAGTCGGAGTAAGAATATAAAGACAACAAGAAAATACCAACACGTGCACACAAACATATCCAAAATGTCCGCTTATTCTGAAAATTGATATGAATGGTTTTGACGAATGGCAATTACGGTGGTACTTTTATCCAAAACATCCGATGTAATTGGTTAACATGGAAGTGTAATAAGACCTTTTATTAGTGGGGGCTTGTCCAGACTTCCACTCAACTTTGGTACCAATTTCAATACCATCTTATGAACACAATAATGGTCCAATCTAAGATTCAATACAAGTAGGGTAAAATGTGAAAGAAAGAAAGATTTACATGAAGACTCCTGAAAAAGAACAAGGAGAATAAAACCATGTGTTCCGGAAGAGTAAGCATCTGCTGCTTCATCGACGACCCCCGTCATGTAAATATTCGTCAATTCAAATAAGTAATATTACGTTCTCATATGAGTCTCAAAGAAATGGAATATTTCTCGATGAGGTCACTATGAGCACCGTAAAACTTCCCCATACTTTTCGCATCACTTGAAAGCCTGTGTTATGAGTTTGCCCGCCCGTCTTGATATTGGAAGCAGGCTCCCGAGTATCGAATCAACTTCGATATATCAACTACAGAGTTTGGAGATACAGGGAGATTGCTATCCAGAAATGGAATATACAGCTTGGCTGAAAGCTCTCGTTGTAGCTTTGGATAGTCGACCCATGACTGTCGAGACCTTAGATAACCGACCTGCGATTTCAGGCCTTGGAAAGTCGGCTAATGGCCTCATGCCTTGGTTAGACGACTTGTGAGACTAGGCATTGGATAGTTATTTAGGAGTTAACGATATTTTAAAATGATATTTATTTTTATATCTCCCCTGCTCCGAAAGGCCGATAACCTAATCATATGCCATAGCGCGATGTTCATGTTCCGTCAACATTTAACAAACATTCGCTTCTAGTCATGAACAGCTGAATGCTTTGACCAAACTTTGTCAGAAGCATGCTTGATGAAGGGGAACCAAGTATGTATAAATATTGGTTCTTGACCCCCATGGCCTGAGGAGAAGGGCACAGAAGGAGAAATTCAGCATGTTCTTTAAATTCCTTTTTCTATAGAAATGCCCAAATTTAGTCCCAGGCATTCTTGGGTGACCGGGAATCCTTTTTGTATAAACAGAAAATAGAGTAAGTTCGTCAAAATATTACTCCTTTTGTAGGGGTGATTAAAACGGAATCAGTTTTGTATAAACGTTAGATCTCGGTCCTCTGGGGCGGGAGGTACGAGGCCCCAGTAGAGTTGATAGAGCAAATTCTTTACAATTCTAGTCTTCTTACAGGAATGATTATATTTGGTCAAAATTTGGTCAAAAGAACTGTTACGTGAATGGGAATCGTTTTAGTGTAAACCTTAGATCTAGCACCTTCGGATGGGTGGGGCGTGCTTATTGATGGAAATAGGGCAGATCTTTAACATACTATTCCTCTTGAAAGAATGATTAGAATTGGTCAAATCTGGCCTGCGATAAGGGGAAATCGAGCAAAATCTATCTTCTATAGGAATGTCAGGATTCTGTTCCAATATTTTGCCTGAAGCATGAAGGAATAGGCTGACCCCAACCTTATTGACCCCCTAATCCTCAGCCCCCACTTCGTAGAGACAGAGGGTGGAAGCCCAATGGGAAAATGGATAAGTGTTGAGTGTTTGGATATCTAGAACCCCTTTAAGTTTTGATGAAGCAATTTCAGTTAGGCCCTATGGGCCTCTTGAACGGGGTAGTGATCTCATTGAGAAATATTCAATTATTCTATATGTACTTTATGAAGATGTAAGGTTTGATACTCGTTTGTTTGCCGGTTGGTTCCATTGTGGTATACCTTGTTCTATTTGAGAACGTGACATTGCCTACTTAGATTTACCAAGGCTTTTTTTATCTGACGGAGTCCCAATCCTCAGCATATACTAGTATAATAAACAAGTTCTGACCAAAGATGGTACAAAAAGATTGAGCCAAACATGAATATAACTGCATCCTGCAGCTGTTTTGTCTTTCTAAGAAATGTCAGTGATGTTAAAGGGCTCAAATTTGAAAACAATGAGGCATCTGAAAAAATACCAAATTCATCGAAAGAAATGTCAAAATCTAGATACTGTAGGTCCATTAGTCCCATAATTCAAATTTTTTTTTTCTAAAAATTATCTTGCATTGATACAATATCAGAAAAATGTGCCGTGAAGATGTAGATTCTAAACTGTGTCCATATCTGAATAAATTAAAACATGGCATGCAGGTTACGGCAAATCGCTCAATACGATACTGTACTTTTTACAATTTTCAATACCTTCAGTTGATTTTACATATGTCTGTTACTTCTTCACAGATGACCAATAGATCAGAGCTTGTGATTGAACAATTGATGGACACCAGCTACAAAGTAGACTTGGTTGTACCACTATCAAACAAGCTCGCTCTCCTGTTCCATACAATCAATAATTCAACATTGAAACAATTCCAATAGTACATCTAAGATTCATCAACACCTAATTTATAACTAAATAAACAGAAATAATTACACACAGATGTAGATTATATCACCAAAACTCCGGAACTCTAAAAAACACCATTTAAGAATTAGCTGGATATGTATAAACGCCTTCTTTGAGACTTGTAATAACTTTATACAAATGACAATAAAATGAATGTATGAACATGTTTTATTTCAAACAGTAATGATAATGAAGTATAACACACATATTCACAAAACAAGTGTACAATGAATTTGTTTCCCTAACGACCACTCTTGAAATTATTAAAAGAAAATTAATTTTCATATTGGAAATGTGAAAAAGTCAGCGTATTCTCAGGGTTTTTTTTTATTGGAAATCAGTTTGGGAAAACATTCTATGAAATTACTCATATGTGAAACGAAAGACAGATTGTCTACAATGTTTAAAACTTGGTATTTCATAGCCCTCAAACAGTGTTTTGTTGTATATATGTATAAGTGTGTATATGAAAGGCACACTTGATTATTCTTATAAAACTATATCCACACCTGGGATATTTTAAAACGAAACAAGAATAAGTTTTGTTTGAGAGATAATTGAATCCACATCCCAAGATAGCCTAATGAAGGACACATGAGGTATATGTAATACAGTAACAGTAAGTATATTGTACATGTATTTGTCTAATTACCTACACATTAAGTAACAGGATGTATCTTGTACATGTATTTGTCTAATTACCTACACATTAAGTAACAGTATGTATCTTGTACATGTATTTGTCTAATTACCTACACATTAAGTAACAGTATTTCTGTTATAACATCCCAACATATAAGTATGACATTGAAATTATCCTGGTCTTATGAGTTATGTGAATATTTTCAGTTCTGCCCATTTTGGCATCTTGACATCAATATTTGTGTTAATCATCTCATTTCCATTTATTTGTGAATAAACAAAATGTATATGATTTTTTTTTTTTTTTTTTGGGGGGGGGGGGGGTCAATGAATTAAAAACTGTAAAACTTTTCTTAATAAGACCATCAATTGAAAATAAAATGGATGTTTTATTTCTTCTGAAAGAACACTTTTATGGAAAAATATTTTGAAACATAATTTACAGTATTTATACATTAATGATAAGCATTAGCTTAGCAGTATAAATAGCATTGCCTGAGGATGTGTAAGATTATCTTGGAACCAGCCGAGATAAATACTTATATTGCAATGTAGAAAAAAGGTAAATATCATAATATATATAAATAGTCAAAATGTTGCTAGATATCTGAATATGATTCAATCGAGATTCATTTAAGGATGATATGTTTATGTAATCATTTAAACGAGAAAAAATATATACACTACAATATATCTCTAAAATTGTACATGAATCCCTGATATCCAGGGTACATATAATTAATACAAAATTGGACTTATACAACAAATGACTTGTGAAAATTTTATCAAAATGACTATGTTAACAATCTGGACGGAAAACCAATACAAACAGTGGAACATCACAATAGTTACCAATATCACAGAATTTGTCACACTTGGTAAAATCATTAGTTACAAATATCACAGTTACTATAATCAGCACAGAAGCACCCCCATTTAATATACTACCTTTATCACAAATCATGGACGTATCATTGATAAGATAGGACACGGACAAGATATCTTAGTAACGTTACAGCAAATAGATTGCTGTATTGATATATATCTTTTCTAAATAAGTATATAAATAATTATATCAAAATGAACAATAGTAAAAAATAATTCTAACTTGAACATACAAATTTTTCTGACAATAAAGTTTTGATATTTTGTTAAATGAAAACATGTTTATTAATTCATTTTGTTAACAATCAAAATATTATGGGATATTTTCATCACTTTAAGCTAAAAATATGACGATAATTGTTTCGGAAACAATAGAGGTAAAAGGCTGGGCAAGTTTAAATAAATCTATTTTTATGATAAATCATTTGAATTTATTCATGTTCAAGCTTCCTTTATTACAAGTCAACAAATTGGCTAGGTTCACTGCAGTTGAAACTAACTACAGGCTAGAAGTGAAGGGAAGAGGGTAGGTAGATGAGTTAAGATACCAATTGTGAGGGTGCCTGGCTGATTTCAAAGTTCATTGGACAAGTACAAAATATAGATAATTATAAACCTAGAATGAATTCTTTAAAAAATAAAAAATATATCAGTGGTATATTGAAACGGATTATTAATATATCACAACTTCACCAATAGCTATAAAATATATCAACAATGAATTGATACAAATCATAATAAGGTATTTCCACGGTTAACAACCATTCCCTGGTACAATATCTGATATAGGATTGATAGTCTAAAACATAACAAGGTTCGTTTAGTGGCTTTCTGTGATATTTTTTTGAGGCTGCCATCATATTAAATGAAAGCATTGTCACATTATCTGCTTAAACAAATTTTGAAATTACTATTTCATCTGAAAATATTGAAGTCAAATCATAAAAGATACTTCTCATAATTGCACACATTGGTAAATGTTTTCATTTCTTTATCTAAAATGATTATCCTATCGCTGTGGAAGTAGTGACATGTTATTTCTATTAACACATCCTCAAATGCATGAATCTGTGGGCAATCCACATTTTAATTTTCCAAAATTAAATACCATTTATTATTCAGTGAAAGAGTAATTTCCTGACTTAGAGTCTGATTAAACAACATCATTAGAATTATCTACTTTTCCTTCTTGCCTTTGGATTTGTTGCCTTTTTTGTCATTATCATCTGGGTCCTCAAACTTGTTCTTTTTCCCAATTATCTTCATAAGACCTTTGCTCATGAAGTAAGGCTTTTCTGCAGAGCCATCATGCATTTCTAAGTCCTCCACTGCAACAACAAAATTGATAAAGGTTCACACTTTGTAATTAGCTGTCTAAAAACAACAAAATTTAAGGAGTTCACATTTTGCAACCATACCCAGACCATATACATATTGCACAAGAAGAATATTTCTATGAGATCATTATGACAAATATAAAAATTTGAAATTAACTTCATAAATCTGAATCTCGTAAAGCCCTGTGTCACATGTTTATCAGTCAGTTGCTGACATCTTGCATACAAATATACCATATAATCAATTGGTCATTGTCGCCTTTAAAGACATATTAAACTTAGTTTGAATGATGTCATATCGTCATCCTTCTATTTCTTGATCATGTAAATCTATTGTTACTGACAAGCTGATGATTAAACATGGTATAAATAATAGTAACATGTTTCTGTTGGTTTACTTACGGAAGCAAAGGAACAGAGTATCCACTGCCATTGTGTAGACACTGAAGAAGGCACATGTGATCAGAAATGTACCTATGATTACAATCTGAAACAAAATGTTTACCAATGTTTTATTTATCATTAGGTTTATTTACCTATTACCATGGTTTATCTGTTATTGTTATCTGTCATTGTAAGCAATTAGACAAATACATGTACAGGAGATATACTGCCTTTTGACAATTAACTGGGCTGACTATATATCTGTAATAATAGCATGTTTGTGACTGTAAAGGTCTTTGCAAACTGACTGATTAATCACCCGAGTTAATACAATTTAAATACAGTCATGTTACAGCATACATACCACAATTGGTGTGATGTAGAAATTGAGGGTAGGCACATAATTGGCGAAGAAATCAACCTTTCCCTGAAACCAGAAGTAGGATCCAACTCCTGTGAAGGAAAACATATTAAGAATATGAGTATTTTCTTATTTTTGAAATTTTTCCTATCAAAGAATGGGAAACTATCAGATTTGATGATATCAGTCCCTCAGTTGTAATGGTGGTATATTTTCCACCCTAACTGGCAGTATTTGTTTCCCCAGTGGTGTCTCCCTACACTTCAGTGGTAACATTGATGCCATCTAAGGTACCTTTTGTTTCCCCAGTGGTGTTTTCCTACCCTTCAGTGGTAACATTGATGCCTTCTAAGGTACCTTTTGTTTTCCCAGTGGTATTTTCCTACCCTTCAGTGGTATCATTGATGCCTTCTAAGGTAGCATTGGTTCCATTGTGGTGTTTTTAATTTTATGTTTAAAATAAAGATATTCAATGTTTCAATCTTAATGATTTCTTTCATCTCATCGGAATTTCCTGTTTTCAAAATTCAGGCAGCAATCTTGTGTGAATTCTTAATGATACCTACTACACACGTCTATGACATCAGTTTAAGGGTTCTCATGAAACTGTAGCTACAAATAAATGCTCACAGGACTGACAGGCTAAGGCTGAAAATGTGACAAAAAATATATCCAATCAATTTGATACATTATAACGGAGTACTATACACATAATGCTCTTTTTATGATTTGTGAAAATAAGCTTGTAAACACCTACCAATTGCAGCAGTAACCACAAGTTTGCTCAGGAACAGCACATAGTCAGTAAGCTTATCCAGTACAACAGCCCTGGGGGGAAAATAGGACAAAGTATAAGTAAGGCTTGATAAATTAAATCAAATATCAACCATTTGTTTCATTAGAGTTGAGGTAGTTGTATGAATCCTTATGGGTATACAATTGTTAGCAATGATTGAATGACTTAATTGAACATAATTGTCCAGACAACACAAGTCAGAACAACATAATTGTCAGGGCAACATATGTCAGAACAACATGTGTCAGGACAACATGTGTGAGGACAACATATGTCAGGACAACATGTGTCAGGACAACATGTGTCAGGACAACATATATCAGGACAACCATATGTCAGGACAACATGTGTCAGGACAACATATGTCAGGACAACATGTGTCAGGACAACAGGACGTCAGGACAACATGTGTCAGAACAACATATGTCAGGACAACATGTGTCAGGACAACATGTGTCAGGACAACATGTGTTAGGACAACATATATCAGGACAACGTATGTCAGGACAACATGTGTCAGGACAACATGTGTCAGGACAACATATGTCAGGACAACCATGTGTCAGGACAACATGTGTCAGGACAACATATGTCAGGACAACATGTGTCAGGACAACATGTGTCAGGACAACATGTGTTAGGACAACATATATCAGGACAACATATGTCAGGACAACATGTGTCAGGACAACATATATCAGGACAACATATATCAGGACAACATATGTCAGGACAACAGGACAAGATGTGTCAGGACAACATATATCAGGACAACAGGACAAGATGTGTCAGGACAACATATATCAGGACAACATATGTCAGGACAACAGGACAACATATGTCAGGACAACATGTGTCAGGACATTACAATGCGACATGCAAGGTGCAGCAAACCTTGAAAATCATGTACAAAAGACACACAAATAACACCTCATGAATTTAGAATCAGATGCAGTAGTGTCAAGGAATGAATTACACTGCATCATACAGCTATTTCATCCTTCTATTACGTCAAGATATATTTGTATATAACACATGATTGAAATAACATTTGATCTAAAGTTTGAAATAATATTTCAAAGTAAGGAATGTTGTATAAACAGTTAAGTGATTGATGTTCACATGAAATTGTAAAACATGATTAAAGATAGGACTTGATGCTATACATTGATCAATAAAAAAAATGCATCTAATTAAGGTCTCTATCACTCATATGATTATTTACACAAATTAGAAAATGCCCTTACTTAATTGTATCATAACTTATTCCTGAAATGCTGGTCAAGGTTCCAGCATACATCAGAAATGATTTTTCACTGGTCTCATCATTGAGTATAAAAATGACAGGACCTAGTTGCTAAGAAATGTCTAGAAGAAACAACTGGACACTCCAGGGTACCACAAGTTCTGACACATCTTGTTATTAGTAGTTATATGGTTAAACCACAAACCAGATTGGTGAGTAAGACAGATAACAGATTGGCAGTGATTTATCTATATTGGTAAGTAATTAAACTGAAGTATGTACTGGTGTGATTAATTGGTACAGTTAATATTCTACCCACCTTACAACATTTCGAAGTATCAGAAAGAATGCATCTTTTGCTGCAGAACAAAAGTTCTTTCCATAAACTGCAACCTAAACAGAAAGATACAACAATTAAATGTTTTGTATTTACCAAAGTCTTGTTCACCTAAATCACAGATCATCACAACCAAAAGGCAATGTTAAAGCTCACTTGATCTTAAGTCGAGGCTTGACCATTAACATGACAGTTGATTAATACAAAGATAAGATGTTTGTTATAGAGGGACTAGAAACAAGTGCTCTATGGTATTACTTACTATTATGTAGGCATTTCTGTTTAGAAATTTTACACATTTTTCTAGACACCAGAAGCAGCATTTCAAACATCTACAAGGACATAAAAATACATTGACACATTAAACAATGTAACAAGAGGCTTCAATATAATCAACATGTTTAATGTCTATCATGTACAGTTTCTTCATAATTACAAGGAATGCATATTAGATGACAAGAAATGTTTCTGGTATTTGTTTTGCATGTGACAAAATGTTTCTAGTGACTGTTCTGCAAGTGACAATATTTCCAGTGGCTGTTTTGCGAGTGACAATATTTCCAGTGGCTGTTTTGCGAGTGAAAATATTTGCGGTGGTGTTTTTTACATGTGACAATATTCTGATGACTATTTCACATGTGACAGTATTTCCTGAGGCTGTTTTACAAGTGACAATGCTTTTTGTAGGGAGGATATTTTTTGTAACTTTGTGGTAATTAACATAAAATTTGTGAAATAATATATATGTGTGTGTTACATGTCCTTTCACATCCAGAAGACAGATTTATAACTAATCAAAATATGATTTGATTGCTCTAAGAGAAAATAGCAAACACTTTAACTAGTGAAAATAACCCAATTTACAGTATTTCTTGTGTTTGTTTTTACCAAATGTGAATACCTTTTTATTCTAAATATGATAATTAAAAACTTCAAATGTACATTTATCAATATAAAAGTTCAGATATATTCATTTAAAGACTTACTTAACAAAAAATCTGGCCACTACATTTTCACTATCTTTCAGTTTGTGGTCGAGGTATTCCAGTACAATCCTAATGAACTGAATTATTGCCAGTATGAGTGCACCAAATGCAAGTGATCCAGTGTGATACCTACAAAATGAGGAAATCAACAAAAGTATGAAACAAGGTACCAATTTAACAGAAAACAGGCGGACATTGTGTCAGCCATGTAAATATTATATAGAATAATTGTTACAGACAATAGTGTGGCTTAATTACTGGAAAATGAAGTAACATTACAGAACAGCAGCATAATATGTACAAAGATATCATTAGGGTGGACTGATTACCAGATATATTACTAAACTGATAGAAAACAAATTTTTCAATCACTTAGATTTAATATTCTGTCGTCAATCTCATTTGAAATTAATATTTAGGTGGATCTGAACAATCTAGGGCTTCTGAAAAGTGTTAAAGTATGACAGATCAATTTCAACATCCTGTTAATGTAAAATTAATTCTAATCATCCTACAATATATTGTGTTTTATGGCTTGTCATAGAATTTAATTACTTTTGGATATCCAACGTTTATTTCCGATAATGAAAGTAGCTGAATTTCAGTGGAGATAAGAGGAGATAATTTCAAAATCCTACCTCAGAGTTCTCCAAACAGATCCACTTATCGGGAAATGAGGAATATCTTTGGGCTTTTCAAAGGCCCAGTAATAGGAGGCAAAGGAACCAGCGAGGACCATTTGTCCAAATGCAATCACAAAGTTGTTGAGCCAAAGGTACATAAACAGCATGTAAATCTGCATAGGTATTATATATCTGTAATAAAATTAGATAACAATGTTTATCATATATAGGTTTTATATATCTGTAATAAAATTAGATAACAATGTTTATCATACATAGGTATTATACATCAAATATATCAAACTAACAAGCACTGCACAACAATGAAATATAAAGTAATATCAGCCTGATAAAAGTGTTATTTCTAACAGCAATGGAAAAAAAACTCATTTAAAAAATTTCCACCAATGAAAACTGAGAACACATTTTGTAAAATTGGCCAATTAATGAGCCTGATACAAAACTACAAAAACAAGAGTTCCTTGGAACTGTATGCATAACCAAAGAAAGTCCAGAAAACAATATTCCCAGATAATTTTCTGAGTTCAAAGGGGCATAACTCTGCCAAGAAGGGTTACAGACAGCCAGGAATCAAACTAAATCTGTACCCTACCAACAAGAAGCCATATACCAAATTTCATTTCAATAACTCAAAGGATAACTAAAAAAAATGACAGAGAATTTTCTAAGTTCAAAGGGGCATTACTCTGCCAAGAAGGTTCACAGACAGCCTGAAATGGAACTTAATCTGTACCCTTCCAACCACAGGCACTCGAGGCCAGGATATTATTTTTTAAACATTGATTTTTGTTTTAGCACTCATGACTGACGTTATTTAAACGAAATATCAGCAGAATTCAAGTTTATGTGCCGGTTGACAAATCCGAGGTCCACGGTCATTAAAAATACACAAGGCAAGCAACTCCAGATTTTAAAAAATCGACCCCTCGCTTGGAAACTGGCTCAAAAAAAGTAGTTATGATAAGTTCCTTGTAAAACAATATGTATCCGTAGGTAGTGTGTATATTTACCTTTTATTTGGTGCATAACATTACAGGCAACGAGAAATTCACAATACGTACATGAGATTAACATCTCAATAACCGGAGATTTTATCGTCCATGTAATTATCTTTGACGGAAGTAACATGCCATTTCAAGGGCGGTCACTCCGACTTTTTGGGAGAGGAGTTCCGGATAGCACTATACCAGTGAACAGGTAAGAAAGATTCCGATGTCATTACGCGCGTAACTTCAAAATAGATATTTTTATTTCTACAAATACATTTGCGGGGATGGAAAAATAATGGCTGGGCAAAGAAAGTCCACATTTGCCAACTCGGATACAATATCATGGTAAGGGATTATACAGAATGCATCAACTTTCAATCAAGCTGGCGGTAATGAGAATTTTTTTTTCAAAAAAAAAAAAAATAAGAAAAAAATCATGCAGATAATGAAAAAAGGGCGCAATTTATGAAAAATATCGTGGGGGAAATATATTAACTTAGATATTGGAAATTAAATGATTTTTTCCATAGTGATTTTTGTCAAGTTATTGAGAATATTTGAA